TTTTAAGAAAGAGAACTCTTTCCATTCAAAAAATGTGTATAATTTGATTTCTGCAGAGCAGAAATTCCAGTGATCGAGTAACTAGAGTGACAATTCCTTGAAATGAACATTTTATTAACTTATTTAAAAATAGTGATTTAAACATGTAGATAATATTGGGAAATAAATTTTGGGATAAATAAAAACATAAAGAGTGACATTAAAATATAGAATATGATATTAAAAGTTATCAGTGTTATTTAAGAATATTTAAAAATGGCCATTTTAACGTTGATGGCCTGAAAATGATCAAATGTTYGCCATTGACGAACATATTTTATAGTATTTTTTGTTATATAAGTGCTAGGGCCATTAACTAGCCGACTAACAGTAATAATTACTAGTACTGATAATTATTTTACAAGGGTAGTAACGCTGCTGAATAGGTTTTTGTCTGTTATCGCGATCAAAAAGTAATTGCTCCCAGCATGATCCCGCGCATAATCAAATATTATCTCGGTATCGCCTGTAGATGCAATAATGTACTTCGTTGCTACCCTGAAAGGGACATCCCAATTCATTTTAGTTTGGCAGATCATATTAGCTATGGGCAGATTGACCATTTCAAGTTATCAGCGTTTATTAAGAATCAATATCAACTCGATTTTTAAAGAACTAGTGTTTTTTGTTTGGTTGTTTGTTTTTTTTTTTTTGTTTGTTTGTTTGTTGTTTTTTTTTTGCGTTCTTGCTCTAATAACACCATTTTTGAAAATATTGTCATCAAGAAAATGTCTGAAAATTTTAGACAGATAAGAGTTATTAGAATAAAGATTTTTAATCTTCAATATGTTTCCTTTTTTCCCCATTGTTTTTCCCCATTATTGGCATTCAATTTCAGCTACTACAAGATCAGGGCAATCAGTTTCCAATATCAGTCACAAAGAAAAGTAAATGTCATTTGGTTTACCWAGAACACGGAAATATGTTTACCCTTTCCTACCCACAGGGAGACTTTGTGTCTGGGAAAACGCATGTATTGTCAACGTGGGAGATTTCCCGTCATTTACATCGGCTGTCTTTTAAGATTTACAAAATATGGCAACAACAAAAAATGTTTACAGCGCGTTACGACATATTGATAATTGATGTGATATTTGTTGTAAAGCTAAGGATTATATTTTGTCTAACATCGCATAAGGTTATTGTATCGTGTCTTGGGCACAAAATAGGTCGAATGTTCTCTAAAAACTAGTTGTGTGAGCTGCAAAGTCAAATTAAAGACACCTATATATTGCTTTTTTTWTAAAAGAACTTCAAATAGACTAGGGATGTGGATAAAACGCCTAATTCCATCTAATCTATAGCCATCTTAAGGTTCTTTTCTCTCCTCCAAAAGGTAATATAAATGCAAATCATTTGATAACGATCTAGTTTGTCTAAACTTAAAAGAAAGACCCCCTCAGCGTTTGCTTTCGTAAAAAAATGAACTGATAAATAACCGGGAATTGCTAGATAGATTCTGAATCCATAAAATTGGTATATGTCAGATATCACGTGAYACCGGTTTTACTATCATTTGAGTCCTAACGATTGACCAGATCGACCGAAAGATCKAAAAGTCATGTTGCGCATATGAATTCATGATTGTCATTTTTCTTTTTATCAGTCTATTATCTAAGTCAGCCCGTCAACATCTGCAGTAAAAGGCATTATTAATAGCTCTTGGTGAAGACTTGAGCATAAAACTGTCCGCGACATCATAGCTTCTTTAGATCAATTTGAAAGACAAGAGAAGTTGTCCATAACAAAGTAGAGAACTGAAAATTGTTCATTTTAGCGCCGAAARTATGATAATACGAACATACATGCTACTCTATTACTAAATACCACTTMGAACGAGAATGCAAAATATGTTTATATGAATCAGTAGGACATGTTAGATAGCCACAGGAAAAATACAAAAGTTTTAGGTTTTGAAATAGATATCTCAAGACAGACTATACACTTCAAGGACACAATAACTGATGAAGACTTTCGTGTTTAATTAGCGATAGCATGTCTGAATTGCGTGATTTCGTTTAAAGTCACGCTACATTGATTAGCTGAAAGTCTGCTAAAAATATCACGACCAACCAACTCTACAAAACTGTCAAATTATTTACACTGTTTTAAAAGCATGCCACTTTGGCTAATAATGTTTACTTAACAATTATCAGAGTATATATAATCTGTAGAAGATGTTTCACAAATGTGACGTTCCTAAGACTTGTGTAAACTCACTAATCGAGAAGTAAATGCCGTATTGAGGGAYTAAACACCTGACTCGCGATACGAAGCGCCATCAATAACGTGAATAAATAACTTGTATGGTACATTTGTCTCTGGAGACTCATCACGCTTAGTCGAAGTTTTCCTTTTCTTKCTTAGATTAGGTGAGCATTCTGGCAAGGCTTCCCTTTTCGCAGCATCGCGATCGAGTTCTTTTCGTATTTGCCTCGCGTCCACTACGTAACCTCGGCTGCTAGATTCCTTAGCGTAGGTACTTTCAGTTACTCTAGTGTCAGTGTCTGTATTCGATTGCGATGCGTGATCTGCATTGCTCATTTTGGACCGTCTTCTTTGTCCATTGCTGTACGCTGTGAATGTTTTTCTTGAGGGATGACTGTGGTGAGGTTTAGGGCAACAACARCATAAAAGCTTTGTAAATGCTGTTCTAAATTGCTCGCTCCTCAGTCCCACAATAAATGGATTACATAGAGAATTGACAAAACCACACCAATAAGCTGCTAATCCTAGACCATGGGGAATACTAGTTCTATCTTTCACAATAACAGCAAAGGCTATGAATACACAAAATGGAGCCCAACAAACAAAAAATGCAAGCAAAGCRAGGAAGAAAGTTGCACCAACTCGAATTTGAGCTTTTAGAGTTGCTTGATGTTGATTACCCGCTACTGCGGTTGACATCCTTCGGGAATGACCTCGCAGGGAAAGAAATATTCGTATGTACAAAGCAGTCATAACAATCAACGGAATAACAAAGGCTACAGTGACTAAGAGAATCATATAGAGAGACTCGTACTTTGATCTGGGGAATCCATAACCACATTGAAGTGTAGTGGGATTAAATTCCATGTGACCCCAACCAAAAAATGGCCCGAGAACGATYGCTGCCGCAAAAGTCCAAACAGCAAAAATCATGAGGAAAGCTTTTTTTGCCGTCATGAATTTCTTCATGGGACGAACCAAGGCGAAATATCGATCAATACTAATCACAGTGTGTGTAAAGATCGTACTGCAGAAAAGTACAGAATTACACGCAGCGTTTATCTGACAGATTGTCTCGTTGAAGATCCATCTTCTTTTGACAGAAGTGACCAATGGAAAAATCATGCTAAGAAATCCAACAGCCAAATCACCAACAGCAAGGTTGACTAAGAACAAATTCATCACAGTCCACATTCGTTTGTTCTTGAACACAACATAGCAAATGATACAGTTACCAATGATAGTKAGCAATATAATAATACACAGTGCTGTGGCTGCTAAGGAAGTTTCCAACACCGTGAATTCCGTGGCCACTWGAGAACCATAAGGAGCTGTACTGTTAGATTCGTACTGTTTATTCATAGTTTCCTATGCGAAAGACCATATTCACATTGATCGCACTGTACTCTGAATATGTCAAATGTTCACCTTTGGAATAAGGTGATCCTMTGTAATGATGACTGATGCGAGATGAAATTTCTAAAACATGTAATGTCACCAAAGAGGTCTGGGAATTATYCCGCAGCAGACATACCACAAACTATATGGATTGTATAACAGTCAAAKGGCTTTATATGGCTCCAGCGAAGGTCAATCAAATGATGCGATAAAGGACCGTAATTACGCGTCATAGCTGTTTCCGCATCGTCACACAAGGAACAAAATATAAGATGATTTGCTTGTCAAGGGCAATGACTCATTTCTATGGATCTTTTCTTGTGCTGTTTATGAGATATAATCGACGACTCTTTGGTGTGTTGTATAGACATAAGATAGCTTATCATATTACCTCGCTTAAAATTCCTACCACCCCTAGACACCTGAGATCTCTCAAATTAATTCTCTACTTCATGACAGTTCTTTTTGGTTGTATTTGCCTTGTTTCTATTTGCCTAACACACACATCAATTAAGGCACTTATATTGAATAAGCGAGGTAAAGGTGTTTGTCATTGTGGGGTATTTGAAAGCCCTGACAATTTTCATTATTACCTGCGAAAAACAATACCGAAAATCATGCCTTATAATAACTCACGATTGCAAATCAGTAATATTGTCAGACTTGTCATAAAGCGAAACAGCGTCAGTGAATAATTCATGCTTACTTTGTTGTTTCCATATTTTTCCAATTGACATATAAAATGAGAATAATAAAGCCATGATCACATTTCTTAATTTATAACTGCCCCCTCCCTAGTATATAGTTATAAAAAGCCAGATGATTGATAGCAAATATGCAGAATGACAGCTGAGATAAATTGTCTGAAGCAACTTTACCACCGGCGTTGTAGGCTTATTAAAGAACCCATGGGTATAGGGGAGCGTTCCTGATTTATCTAGTGGGGGGCTAGCTGTAATGATTCTTAATTTTTAAGTCGGTTGAGTAATAATTTTTGTGCCCCCTTCAGAGATCTGATTTTATCATATAATTATCTATGCAATACCTATATTTCTCCATTTCTTATTATGTTATTATGTTATTTTAGTGAAAATAACACATTCGAGGTTTCTC